CAAACTTTGGTCAAACACACTTTTTTTTAATTCTGAGAGGGAGTTCATTTGGGCGTAAGAGCGGTTTTGTGGTGGGAATTCTAGGCTCTTGGTGACTGAACAGAGAAGTTGCAGGAGAGGCCAGAATTCGTTTGGAGTTTGGGGGCTAATGTCTATATGGTGAAAATTGCAGAGCTGTGATGTGGAAGGATTTTAAATGCAAGGATGAAAACTTGACTTTATGATGCCTCAATGTAGGTCAGGAGAAAAAAGGTGTGATAATTAAGTGAGATTTTAAATTTTATCTTTTGTGAGAGATGCGTACTGCTGACGAGGCCAGTGTTGGTTCCCCTTTCCTCGTTGTCCTTAACCCGATCAGCTTGTTAACGTATTTTGGAAAGTAGTTAAGAATCAAATATATTGCTGTGGGTCTGGAGTCACGTGTAAGCCAAACCAGGTAAAGAAGACAGATTTCTTTCTCTAAAGAAATATGTCGAAATATGTTTTAATGCAACTGATTATACTTTAATGGTCCCCATTTCTGAGAGGGAATTGTTCAACTCTAGAACTGTTGAAGAGGAGTCCTTGCTGAAAGGTATTAGAACAGTTGCGTGATAGATGCATGGATGAATGTTTCATCAGCAAGTAGGCTGAGCTAGGAATGGAGATGGGCAATATTACTGAGATGGAAATTGGCATTAAAGAAAGTATAGTTAGGAAGAGCAGAGCAAGAAAAGAGTAGAGAGAACAAGCAAGAATAATGTATTATGATCGCAGCTGATGTTGTTACTGGATAAGGTTGATCTCAGATTGAAACCTGGCTTGATAATTTTTTTTTCAGTGAATAAGATGGTTTTTCACTGAAACACAAGTAGGCACTGCTGCAGTTTCACTGTTAATGATTAAGCAGAAGTTTCTTGCAAATTACAGTGACTCAAGCTACTTACACGTTATACAAGTTTAAATATTTTGAAACATATGTTAAAATATAATCCCATTAATCACAAAAACACACTTTTACAGTACTCACACCAAATATAATTTTCTTCTCTGTCACATTGACAAGATTCGACTTAACCATGGCTTCAATTCCTAATCTTAAGAATCCTATCACTTCTTTCTTGAGTCTTCAACAGAGCTTACACTTTCTCATCTTTACCTCACCCCTTTAGTGTTTTAACCAAACACTTCTGGTGTGGAACATTCAAAATACCTCCTTACACTAAAGTAACCTGTTTCTTAATGTTTCTAAACTCTCTCTCTTATTCAGGAGCAACTGTCTTCACATCCAACTCGAGCCAATACCTCTCCAAACTAAAACTAAAAGCTTTCGGTGTTTCTTCTAAGCCAGAAACAAATTCCAAAACCTTCTAATTGAAGCCTAATGCAATACTGTTTAGTCTGTTTGCTCGTAAAACTTACCCAATAAATACAAAATCCAGAGAAAGCAAAACCCCATTGCTCTCCAAAAAAACCTATCTCTTATATCTTGCTTTAAATGAAATCACTCATGGCTATAAATACTTACAAGTTAATCTTTAAGCCACCCTGTAGACAGAGACTAAACCCACATGCCACCTTTACAAATACTTTTTTAAAAATATGCATAATATGACACACCTTAAATCAAAAGTGTACATTCGCAGTCACAGTATATGATTCATAACTTTGCTTCAAGCTATTTTGGTGATGTATTAGGGAGAAAACAGGGCCATAGGAGCAAGATTAGACCATCCGTCCTCTTGAACCTGTACTGCAAGTAATTCAGTTAGGTGACTGACTTCTCCCTCAACTCCATTTGCCTATGTTTGCTGCACTTCCTTTGATATCTTTACTAAGCAGGTTGTAAATTTTGATTTAGCAAACATTACAGTCTTTTGCAAGACAGATTTCAGACTGCATCTGGTTTTATGTGAAAATTGCTTTCTGTTTTCATACCTGAACGGCCTCGGTCCAAATGTAATATTATACCCACTTATTTTCAGATGTCCAGCTGAATTTTTCATCATTTTAACATCTTAATATATCACCCTTCAGTCTTCTATCATATTCTCAAAATTTAACTTTTTAAACCTTGGTATTATTCTGGTGCATCATTCTCCTCGATGCCCCCTCAAAGAACAATTTATATCTTTCCTGAAGTGCAGAACTGAAAACTAAACTCAGTCCTCCAGCTGAGCTCTCACTTAAGCTCTGTATAGCTAAAGCATTCCTTGCTCATTTTTTTAATAGTATAACTCCTTTGAGATAGAGACCCCATTTCCAGTCACCTTTTTACTTACCTCTTCTCCCTGTGCACTAACTTTCAATGATTTGGAAACATGACATCTCAATATCATAGTCTATTCACAGCATTGAGAAAATATTTGGGTTTTGTCTTCCCTAGTTCCAAAGTGGTTAACCCCATTTGTCCCCAAGTTGAATTTCATCTTTGGTAGTTTTGCGAACATTCTATTTCCTTTTATAGCTTCCACCTTACATCTACTGAGCCTTGCAGAACATTAAATATCCAACCCCCTTATTCCTTAATCCAAGTTAGTAATCTGTATGATGAAGAGTCAAGTTTCCAGTAGAGACCTCTGGAGAACACTATTTTTCATACCCTACCGATCAAATGATGTTTTGTCTACCTCTACTCATTGCTTGCTATCTGCCACTCAGTTTGCAACCCATGTTACACCTGTGCTTCCGTGTGCTTTCACTTTTGACAATTTTGGATACAGAACCGTATCAAATACCTTCTGGAAGTCCATGTAGGAAACATTTATAGAGATTCGCTTATCCATCATTTTTGTGATCTTCTCAAAAGAAATTTAATGACATATTCAACCAAGAGCTGAAGTATATCTATCAATGCGGCCGCTTTTGATCAGTTGATATGTATCCAAGTGTTCAATCTTTCCTTCTGATATATTCCAGTAATGCCCAAAACTAATGTTAAACTGCTGAATTGTATTTGCCTATTTTCATTCCCTCATCTCCCTTTCTAAATTTGCAGAGTAGCATTGCCATTTTCTTCAATCCAGAGGTGTAACATTGAGTCTACTTTGCAGTGTAGCCTCGCAAATTTTCTCAATCATTTCTTTTAACAACTTAGGATGGAAGTAATGTCATGTTTTTTTTAGAGATCCAGACAGAGAATCAGAAGAATTGACATGGACTCTGGAGCTCAAAACATGTTCACGAATTTAGGAGAAGGAAGTGAGATTGGAGATATTTGCTGTGTTGGAGGGTGCAACTGAAATGGTTGAGAATAGTGTTGAAAGGGAAGTAGAACCATTAACAAAGTCAGCAATAAGAAAGGAATTTGGGTGGTTAAACAGGATTGAGGAAGAGGAGGATGAGTCTCTTCCATGTGATGAGGTTGGAAAGGGCACGAAGAGATCAAGGGGAAATTTAAGCAAGAGATTTGCGGCTGGAAGAACAACTAGAGAGAGACTTTAGAATAGTGAGCAAGAAGAAGATGGTGAATCAGCAAAGACAGTTGAATTATTGTGAAGAAGGAAATTGAACTCTGCATGTGATCTTCCTCATTTTGGGTTAGAGATAAGATAACACATTATATATTGGTAACTTTTCAGTAGGTGGAGATTACACCTCTCCTAACCACCTTGAACTCTTGCCAGATAGCTATTATTGGTTTGAGCTAAACCAAATAGCAACAAATAATTTATTAATACTTGTAGTCCAGGAAGTCTTCTGGCACAATGATAGTGTACCCACCTCTGCCAGAAGTTCTTAGGTCAAACTGTGCACTGGGACTTGTAGGCTATGGAAGAATGTTCACAATTTTGTCTTAACAACAGCTGGGATTTCTTCTCTGTTTTCCCACTGATGTCCGCAAAAAAAGGGGAAAAAAAGAGAGCAATAATGTGTGTAAATTCAATTAAAAAATTAAATTGCTTTTAGTCCTGTGAGTGTTTGCAAAAGACGAAGTCTCACTTTATAAAAGACCCAAATGTTACTTGCAATTGAGCTGTATCCTCCCTTGGCATTAGTTACAAGATTTATTTGTTATGCAAGATGTGTAAACATAAATTCAGTTCTATCCATCATCTCAAATCATTGCTGTGTAATTTTTAGCTTAATATCTTTTTTTACAATCCAGTCAATTACTTTTCTGTCCACCTGCACTCCCAAAGTTATGAAATACTATTTGTCTGATACTTGTGAATGTACACCTTAGTAATACTCTAGATTATGTATAAAAATTATTATTTTGTAACTTTTATGAATACCAAATGAAGTGTTGAGATTCTTGATCATTGGGGAATTAATTTAGATTTTGACAGTAGACGAACACAATTTGGTGAAATAGTTGAAATTGCTAAATTACTGTGAATTTATGATTATCTCCATGACTACTAATTACCCCAACCTAGTTTTACTTCAGCACACAGCAAGCATCATACTTAACCATCATGATCTGGTATATTTGGCAGACCTCTTCTTGGCTTGCAAATTCAAAACTCACCCTTTTTGATTAAGTATCCCTGAAATGGATCTTGAGGAAAAGACTCAAAAGACATTAGAACTGTTTTAATCTTGCCCATATCTTTTAAAGGGAGTTCTTTTCATGGATATATTATTTTTCAGACAAGATGTGATTGTTTTGCAGTCAATCTGCATTTATTTTGCATGATTTCGCTGGTCACTTGATTGATTAAGCTTGTGACTTGCTAATACTGAAGGAGAACTTTAGGACTATAATTGTGTTTCAATTCCTCTGGAATACCCTGCCTAAAACTGGAAGTGCATACTGATATGTATATGGTCTTGACTGCAAAGCTTCCTGAGGCTGAATACCCTGTGGAACTCACTTGCTAAGTTCATACATGAAGTCAAGTGGTTTAGTGACGTACTGAAAACTACTTGGATATGATGAGACTGTACTCCAGGAGAAATCAAGTTGGGAGTAAAACGTTGAAAGTAAACAGCAAGGGCAAGAGTCTTGATCCAAAGATGGTATTTTGAAATACTAGTGTGAATTTTTTTTTAATGTGTTTATCTTTTTGCAGTGAGTGATAGTTGCTTCAGGAACCTTGCAGAAGATAGAAGCGGGATAAACCTTAAAGACCTGGTCCAAGATCCTTCACTGTAAGTCTAACACAGGCAACATAAAAGTTCATGTGCAACTTAAGCAATTTGATATCAAATTTGGAATAATGATGAATATCTTCTTCAAAATAAGTCTAGCTTATTGTAATATAATTAAATGCTATTCTACTGAATAGGTATTTTCCATGTTTTTACTTTGTATGTAAAAACTTGGAGAGGTGACCTCAATAATTCTGTGGTGTCGTTCTCTGAGGACACAAAAAGAACTGTGAGCCCATAATTAACTTTAGGAATGCTGGAAAAGTGAATGGGCCATTTATCTTCCTAGTAACGTGAACAATGTCAGTGTCATTGAAAATATTTGCAGTGTTAAATTTCCTATTTGGATCAAGTGTCACCATATCTGAGAGAAAATAAATGAGCCAAAATATACTGATAAATTGTGAATAGATCATTCAAAGAAATATTGTTTGCAATTTAATTTTAAGTGACATTTTCATGCTGCTTTGTTTTTGTATAATGCAATAAGTAAAGCTGAAAAAACTGAGTCCAAGATTATGTTCCAGGATTTTGACACAGCAACAGTGATGGATCAGCAATAAATTTTCATGTCAGGATGGTGTGTGGCCTGGAGGAAAATTTACAGGTGGTGATGTTCCTATGTCTGTCTACTGTCTTTAAAGATGTTAAAGATTATTAACTTAGCATGATGAAAAGCAGGCGATTGGGCAGCGCTTTATGATTTACCAAACAAAAGTGAACAGTTGCACGCGGAAGGAATGACTTGGGAATAGCTCACTGCATTTCAATCTGTTTCATCCACAACTGGCACACAGTGGCAGCAGTGTGTACCATCTGTAATTTCTATTGCTAAAACTAACTAAATATCCTTTGACGGTGACTTTTAAATATGCAAGCAGCCAAAATGGATCCAAGCCACTCAGTGACACAGAAATCAGACACGCTTGTTTTGTGGATAGGGTTTATTAACTACACAGTCTTTCAGCTCTTTCCACCCATTTTATATCTACCAGTCATTTAATTAATCAATTAACCTTTAAGTCGATCTCGATTACTTTGATTTTCTTGAGTGTTGTTTGAAATGTTGACATATTCGAGAAGATCGCTTCTGAGAAGGTGTATGTGGAAGGGTATTTATTCCTTTTCTCTTTCTGCTTAACTCATCCTCAGTCATGCACTTACTGTTCAGGAAACTCCTGTGCTTTAAGGCTTTTGGCATTCAGCTGCCACTGCTTTGTTTTGCCATTACATGATAGTCTGTAGTTATGTTTCCTTTTCTATATCCCCCAGAGTGGAGCCCTGAGTCTGATGGAATGTGCTCTTCTTAAGCTGTCCACCACTCAGCCCTTATGCTTGCCTGCCTGAACTGACGACCTAAATAATCTCTTAACATTGAATCACTCAGTTCAGTGATGATTATAATGAGCATAAGAGAGCAGCTGCAAGTAGAAAGGATAACTTGGGAAATAGCTCACTGGATTTAAAGTGTGTGATCCAGCTAACGAGAACAACACAGTTTAATTTAGGTGTACCTCTTTCAAAAGAAGGATGCTTTTGATGCATCAGTAGCTCCTGACTGCATTGGATTGACTGTCCAGGAGCTTCTGCTACTTGGAGCATGTGTGAAGCCAACCTGTATGGTGTTCTTCTATCTATAATGGTTGCATTCTCATTAACAATGGAGTATGGGCTTCCTCAGGACATCGATGCAGCTCCTCTGGCAACAATCTGTTGGCTAACAGCATCTTTCAAGAAACTTATCCTGGGGCTATTCAGCCTGCACCACTCTCCCCAGTCTTAGTCTGGGCGATCAATCAAGTAGGCTTCAGTAGCCTAATGGATATCCTGCAGTCGACCAGCCCTTGGAACATTCGGCGTACTGTTCCCCAGTCTGTTGGCAAGGGGCACAGATAGGGAATGCAACACTTTTTGCTCTGCTTCAGAGTAACGAACAGCACATTGGAACCCATGAAATCCCTAGCACCACATAACGAGCTGGATCAAACTGGCTTTCTTAAGCCTGAGCTCTACAAAGGCAGTAGCCATAATCACCTTATGAGCCCATGACTGAAATACAGTAACTTTTCACTGAGGTGGAACCTTGTAGGAGCATAAGCATAGGTAAGAAAGCAATTAAAGTAGGTAGTTTGGGCACACACAAGGGTGGTAATTAGAACGTAAACATTCCTGTAAACAAATAAGCAGTCTTATGCACAGAGAGATCCCCTGGTAACTAATGCTCTTCAGTGTTAGTTAATGTAGTTATCAATGATGTAACTTGGACGCATAAAAGTCTACCTCAGATTGGAAACACGAGAGTGATGTTAGATTTGACAGTTAATGCAGGGCAGCAGGGAACATTCAGCTGAAATGCCCTGCAGTGAGCTGAAGATCTCAAGCTGCAGGCAAGTGGTGGACCTCTCCACTTTGTGACTCCCTTATTTCAAGCTGGCACACAAGACCAAAGTGTAATGGAAATTGAGGGCAAAGCAGGCTCAGACCTGCATGATATGTGACTGCTAATCAAGCACCATTTTTACATTAGTAGAGTTATGTGAAGGATCTGCAGAAAGAGAGAGAGAAAGAATTACATTTATAGCTCCTTCAGTATCCCAAGATGCTCCAAAGTACTTCACAGCCAATTAAGTATTTTTGAGTATAGTCACTATTGTACTGTAGGAAAGGCAGGAACCATTTTGTGCACAGCAAACTCCCATAAAAAGCAGTGTGGTAAAGATCACAGAATCTGTTTTTGTGATGTTGACTGAAGAATTTTCTTTATTTTGCTGAACTTGTCTGAGACATTTGTGACACCTCAGCTGGAGTATTGTGCGTAGTTCTGGATTATAGGAAAGATGTGAAAGCATTGGAGAGATTTACAAGGGGTAAATCGAGGGGTGAGAAACTTCAGTTATTAGGATAGGTTAGAGAAACTTGGGCTGCTTTCCTTGCAGAGAAGAAGAGTTCTGACAGAAGTCCTCAAAGTCATGGGGGTGGTTGAATACAGCAGATAAGGATAAACTGTTCCTCCTCGTAAAGAATCAAGAACAGTAGGGCACAGATTTGAAGTGATTTGTAAAATGAAGCAAATACGATTTGAGAAAATTTTATTTTCACAACACGACGAGTGGTTTAGGTCCAGAATGCACTGCCTGGTGGGGCAATGGAGGCAGGTTCAATTAAGAGGGTATTAGATGACGATTTAAATAGAAATAATGTGTAAGAGTAAGGGGAAAAGGGCAGGAGAATGGTGCTAAGTCATTTGGAGGGCTTATACAAACATGATAAGCTGAATGATTTCCTTTTGCACTGTATGCCTTCCGTGATTCTTTGAAACATCAGGGATAGCTCCGCTGCTGTTCTTTGAAATAGTGCCAAGTGATCTGTCACGTCTATTTGAGAGGGCAGACAGAGTCTTGTTAGTCATCTCATCTGGAAGGTAATATGTATCCAATTTGCATGACTGCACTAGGTTGTCAGCTGTGATTTCTGTGCTCAAGTTCTGGAACGGGATTTGAGGCCAGAGCTATCCGACTGGACCATAGGGCTGCTCTCTCATTAGAAAGAGAGGAATGGTGGTGAGTTAACCCGAGGGTCACCACACCTCAGGTAAGGGGCTAGGTTGAGAAAGTGGGACCTCCATGCTAACCTCAGCCACTGTGAGAGTTGAACCCACGTGTGATGTTACTCTGCAACACAAACAGTCGTCCAGCCACGTCAGCTAACCAACGCCCATGGCTACCAACTAAGCTGCAACTGATGCAAAGCACACGTCAGAGCACTGATTTTGGAGAAAGCTGCCGTCTGTGTGAACCTGACAGATCAGTCTTCCTAATTCCAGTTGTCCATGGAAGAAGTGATGAACATGATGAGTAGACGTGGCATATGTAAGACAGCATTGTGTTGCTGATGGCTTCTGATACAGCTTGGAAAGAGCCAGAGGAAAACAACTTCAGGGCTGCAGTGACCTTACTGAAACAGGGCAGTGCTACCCTAACTGTAACCATTGAATGTGCATTTTGTTGTTAAGAATGACAGAACTCTGAGTTTCCTTTGTTCCTCCCTGCGGTAGCCACACCCTTATCATATGTTCCATCCAGACTGCAATTATCAGAAGAAACCCCATGAAGAAAAGCATTCTCTATCCACAATCTCTTAAGTGTTTTAAAATAGGTTATGTAGCAAAAATGTGTACTTTTCAATAGGGGCAATTTTTTTCTTAAAATATGCCAACTGAAAGCAGGTGACGATCCACTTACCACTGTGACTTGCTGTCACCTGTCCCACGAGGCAGTCGATCAGTCAGTAATCCTCCAGGCCATTGAAAACCTTTTCCCAGGCCAGCCATAACCAGCTTGTGCCCAAAATGCCATCCACTCCTCCATCAGCTGCTGTGATGGTTCTGTCCTGCCCTGTGCTTCGCTCATCCATTGGTTGATTGCTGCACTTGGCTTGCCGGTCCCTCAGCTTCTTAGCGATTATGACCTTCTAATCCCTCATCCTCTGTCTGCCTCCACTCTTGATTTAGACTTTCTGCACTAGCTTGACTTCTTATTGGTGAGGCTTGAGTGTTCAAACCACTGATGAATGTCTTCACACCAATACATGTAATTTCTGGTCCTGTCACAGCCATCTGCCCCACCAGCTGGGAACGTTTAGACATTCATGTCATCCTTGCATACACAAACCCCCTCAGCTCCATTGATCACAGCTGATATTTGTCCTGGCATTTGCCTCAATCCATGTTTTTTTTTAATCAGCTATTTCCTCTCTGTTCCAGAACGTCTTCACCTCTTCCATTCTACCCACATTTCTTCAATTATCTCCAACTTTTAAACCTTCATTTTCTTATAAACTCTCCTCTACCCATGATCTGATCCTGTCTGCTTTCTTTTCACATGCTTTCACCCAGTCCCTTCTTGCCGCCTTCTTAAAGCCTTCTCTTCCCCACATCACAGCTTATTCTTTCATCCTCTCATCTTTCATGTCTCCCTCTTGCTTCTTTTTCCATCTGTTTT